GACCAAGTCTATCATGCCAAAGTTTAAATACTTCATTCGCCTGTGACTTTATTGCAACATAAGTCTCAATAATATGAATGCGGGTGTAATATAAGCCCGAGGATAAAGCTGGCAATTTCTCCAAAACACATTTATTTCCCGCAATATTTGAGGTAATGCAAAGATATTCAACTCCCCCTTTATTCATTGTTTCAACATGGTATCTGTTCATTCGGATATCTTTAAAACTCAACAAAATTCTTGTTGATTTTGGGGAGAATAATGCATCATTCAATGTAAACTTTGTACCTCCCATCATAAAAAATATGGCTTTTCCAGAACCCTCAATTATCTTTGCATTTCCGGATATTGTGTTTACCTTTGCTTTATTTAATTTCAAGTTGACGAAATATTTTCGGTCCTTGAGTATAGTATGAGTAGTTGCACAATTTGCAAGACATATATCTCCATTTTGGATTCGAGATCGATCCATGATCTAAAAGAAAAACAACATTTATTATTGATTAAAGTCAAAATACAAATAAAAACATACAAATACAACAAAACTAAGAAAGCAATAAAAACATGATCATCAGTTATTTTCTTGGTCATTTCCAGCTTGGTCTTCAACTACCGCATCAGCAAAATCTAGGTTCAATATGTCATCGATGCCATAGTCATCATCTACACGTGTTGTATCATTTGCAGAGGATTCCCCAACTATAAAATTAGTTTCTACATTTTTGTCTTTTGATTTCTGGGAATCATTATGTTTATCAACAACGTGTTTCGGAGCACGACAGTTTCGTGCCCAATGTTCCGCCTTTCCACATTGATAACATGCATTTTCATCATTATTCTCTGTCACATTATTTTGTTCAAATTTTGGCTGGAAATTTCTCCCCCTTTAAAAATTTTGGGCATAGTTACGGCCTCGCCCACGATTATATCCCCGGCCCGAGTTATACCCTCGGTGAAATTTGTGGATTTGGTCAAATCGGCGATCTGGACCATATCCACGACCACGTCCACGTCCACGTCCACGACCCTGGCCACGTCCCGAGGTATATCCACGCACATGTGTTTGGCTGTTTTCAGTTCCGGTTCCCTGTTTAGATATTACAGCATTTATTTCAAGGACCACAGTAGACCCCGTAGGCCTAGATTCATGATTTTTCATCAACAACTCGTTATTTTGTTCAGCCAGCAGCAAACAAGAAATTAACTCAGAAAATTTTACAAAGCCTTTTGCTCTGTATTGTTGCTGCAACAGTACATTTGAAGCATGGAACGTGGACAACGTTTTTTCCAGCATATCATAATCAATTATGTTTTCTCCGCATAATTTCAATACCGAGCAAATGCGGAACATCGCTGAATTGTACTCGTTTACAGTTTTGAAATCTTGAAAGCGTAAATGCATCCATTCATAACGAGCCCGGAGGAGAATCACCGTTTTCTGGTGATCATACCTTTCTTTCAAGGCTTTCCAGAGATCCGCAGGATCTTTAACAGTTAAATATTCATTTTTCAGTGCCTCATTCAAAAGATGCCTCAGAAATATCATTGCTTTAGCTTTATCCTGTATTGATGAATCATTTGGGGATATTATTGTTTTTTCCAATCCCCTTGCCGCCAAATGAATTTCGGCATCCAATGTCCATGAGATATAATTTTTCCCAGAGATATCGAGAGCTTCAACTTCGAGTTTGACCAGATTTGCCATGATAACTATAAAATAAAACATCAATGCTTAGATTCAAAAAATTACATATACAATCATTAATTCTTCAAGACGTACACAAGAGCAAATACTAAACACATTATACAAAGGCCTAGTACATAAAATTTAATTCCAACAGTACGATACATCATCGTGAAAATTAGCAAAACGTATATAATAAACAAGATAATGGTAATTATAAGTAATGGATCAAACATTTTTTTTTTATAAAGAAAATATATTTGTGAGTGTTTGGATTATGAAAATGAATTGTAGTGTTATATATAGATATTGGTAAATAGCCGTTACAAAAATAACCGTTAACTAGCCGTTGGAAACAAATTTAATGATATAATATTTGCTAATTAATCATTTATGATCATAAAATTCTAATTAATCATGTACATTACCTTAAAAATTCACCGAGTCATTACGTAAACAATTTAATATAAATCAAATAAAAATGTCACTCACTCCACACTACTCGATAAATCTTTTGGTGGGTACAAGAATAAACAGTTATAAATTTCACGTCACATTACTGGGTAAACCATTTTTGTGGGTGTTAAGTATAAGTAATAAATATTATTATAACTTGAATAATAATTCATAAGAAAATTCAATAATATCATATCACCACATATTATTGACTATGGCATAGCCTAATTTGCCAATAATAATGGTAACGTGTAGATAATATCATACTCAGTATACATATCTTGACTGTGGCAGAGCCTAACTTGTCAAGAATAATGGTAATATATACATAATATATATATATATATATATATCTTTGACTGTGGCAGAGCCTAACTTGTCAAAAATAATAGTAATATGTATATATATTCTTGACTGTGGCAGCCTAACTGGTCAAGAATAATGGTAATATGTATATATATCATTATATTCCTACCTTTCTTGACCTGGTAGAGCGCTCGTGCTGATAACGTGTTATAAAATGCGGGGAATATAAAGAACACAATGTATAGAAACCGGATATAAATTGTAAGATGCTCTCTTTCTCACTTCTTCCGCTTTTCGTACATACTTCACTATACATCTTTGCCCTTTTATAGGTAAATTTTGAGGCCCTCAATCACTAAGCACACATTCCAATACAATTGATAATATAATTAATAGTGGTAGATTCCACTTTATTCATAATATTTTGCCCTTTATTCGTTTTTTTTTTTTTAAA